CATCGGGCATCACCTCGTAGTTCAGATCCCCGAGTCGACGAAGCACTTTGTAGGGTCCAAAGTAGCGCTTCAGGAGTTTCTCGCTGAGACCACGGCGGCGGATCGGTGTCCAGACCCACACCCTGTCTCCCGGATGGAAGTGGACGTCCCGGCGACGAAGGTTGTAGCGGCCAGTGTCGATACGTTGTTGGGCTTGAATTCGGAGTCTGGCGAGCTGACGGACTTCTTCTGCCCGTTGGGCAACCACCTGGGCGTCGTCGCTTCCGCCGACAGCCGGTTCGTGGGGTAACATTGCATCCAGCATTGTCGTCACTTTGCGACCATGAACCAGTTGAAAGGGTGTAACCCCGGTGGTTTCTTGCACGGCCGTATTGTAGGCAAAGGTGACGTACGGCAACACCTCGTCCCATGTCTTGTGCTCCACGTCGACGTACATGGAAATCATGTCGGCGATGGTCTTGTTGAGTCTTTCCGTCAGCCCGTTGGTCTGAGGGTGGTACGCCGTGGTGCGACGATGGCTGGTGTGGCTGAGCCGAAGGACTTCTTGTGTCAGTTGGGCCATGAACGAGGATCCACGGTCTGAGATCAGGACTTCGGGAGCGCCGTGCCGGAGGACGATGGATTCAATGAAAAACTTGGCAACTTCCACAGCAGTTCCGGAAGGAAGGGCTTTCTTTTCGGCGTACCGCGTGAGATAATCTGTGGCGACGATGATCCAGCGATTTCCCGACGTCGACGGTGGAAAAGGGCCAAGTAGATCCATTCCGATCTGTTGGAAGGGTGCCGTTGGCGGAGGAATTGACTGCAGGAGTCCGGCCGGCCTCGTTGGAGGTTTCTTTCGTCGCTGGCATTCATGGCATGATCGTGTGTACACTGTTAAAAATTAGTCGTGAAATTTACGAGGAAAGTTCTGGCAGCTCTATTTCCAAACATTTCCCGTCAAAATAACGAATCATTTTTTTTAAAAATTATGTGGGAAAAGTTGTCAAAAAACGAGGCACCGCATTCTTAGTTTACGAGCATAGACGTGAAAATGACGATTGAATCGTTTTCAAATCTTCCCTCGTGAAAATAACGTACTGTCGTTTTTCTAAATTGACTAGGAAAGTCGTCATTTTTATTTGCGGCTTTGTACGTGAAAATTACGAGGAAATCTCTGGCAGCTCTATTTCCAAACATTCCTCGTGAAAATGACGTACCAGCACCCCCCCCCCCCCCTTTATGTTTTCTCACTGTGTGAGAAAAGCATAAAGAAAAGGTGGATTGCATTTTTCAGCTGAAAGTATGTATGTGTAGCAAATAGTCATTATGATCAGTGTTCTTCACAAAATTATAAAGACAAAAATTGAAAGATTACTTATCACTTTATTCAAGTTTCCGAGCTTCCTCACTGTACACTCTCCTTGGTGATGATGGTGTGCCATTACATCCTGCGGGAAAAGAGAAGAGAAAATTACCCTATGCCACCCTATGATATAACGTCACATAACTCGCTCAAAGGACTATGAGAGGAAAGCAAGAAAGATGGTAACAGCTTCATCCAGACAAAAGGGTGAGGAAAATTGGACAATAGCAGTTCTGAAAGTCTGATATGTCAGACATTGCTGGTGTGCCTTCTATGCATGCCCAGGGCTATGCTACAGGTAATAGTCTTCACTGCAGGGCACAACATTTATTACATCAAACCTTAGGCACCATAAAGAAAATGTGTGACAAAAAATAGCCTTTTCCAGATTCAAGGTTGCAGCTGCTACACTTGAAGCCCATATGGATTGATGAAGGCCACAGCGAAAACATCTGCAAATGGCCATTTTTCAGGGCTGTGCTAATATTAAAATTTTCTTATAGCAGTTTAGTATTATACAATATTTGGTATTGGTTTCAACATTAATCGTACTACTGTAAACGGCTTAATTTTTGCAAAGGCTTACTGTTCGCGAGTTTATCGAAATTGCTTCAAATTGGTCATGCAAATAAGTAGCCCCATGGCTATGAATACATTGAACATTACTCCTCATTGTGAAATTTTGTTCCCACAAAGTATTTCCAAAACTGCCACTTCACAAAGTGTATGAAATATCAAGCTCGCGAAAATAAAGTCGTTTACGCCAGTCGAACATTTCAAAGCACTCGTAAAGTCACCATTGCAATGAATTGGCTTTGTTCAGTGCGCTTCTCCGCATGTGCACTGCGCTGCGGAGAAGCGAAACCCACGGAGCAGACTCCGCAATCGCATTAATCGCGTTAACACCCAACACCACCTATACAATAATAAAAGCCTGGGCATCGCCTCCTCTCCCTTCATGAAACGTCATCACAGTCGGATGGCGCTAACTCAGCTACTGGGCCCGAGTCCGACCTTCGACGCGCTGATGGAACACGAGCCCCGGCCGAACACTGACGCAGCACTCGTGCCCAATCTCGGGCCTCAATCGATCTGGCTGTGATGACGGTGCGGAGGCCTCCTGCTTATCTAGGTGGTGGTGTAACACCCCGGTTGCAAGAATCTCGCTTTGTCGCAGTGCAGACTCATACTTTGATGGGAAATGCACACCTCTATAGCGGAGAGGTTTTGACATGTACACAGGAGGAATTAAGAAAAAAATTTAAAAATGGTTACGTGAATGTTTATGCATCTGATGGATGTCAGTACTCCCCTCAAGGTCAAATTTAGAAGACAAATAACACTGTAGCTATTCTGTTATCAAGAATATGTATTAGGCTGCAATGTCCTAACATGCTATGTCACGACATTGCAGCAACAGTTCTAATTTGAAATTGAAGGATGAGCATGGCGAGAAGGCCATCAAATCGTATATTTATACTCACAACCTCTATGTGGGCCTTGACCTGATGATAGCCAGAGCCACTACATAATTTGGATCAGAACAGAGCTTTGGCAGTGGGGCGATGATAACGAGATCAATTAGAATTTCATTTAAAAAGTATATGTATTGCCCTCATGCTGATTATGTACACTTATAAATCTATATGCCCATGCAGCATGCTGCTGACAAGCATAAATAAATGACAAGCTTTGCTTGCTGCCTCGATTACAACTGTGCAGCTTAAGCAGATCCTTGAGAATTTTAAGAGAGCATTCAGTTTGGTAATCAAAATTATTCACTTCTAACTTTATTTCAGTGGATGACTACCTGCCCCTGATATTACGGTAGGTATTTTTTTGTACCATACCTAAAGTTACTATTCGTGCACGATCATGCTCCTTCACTGACATATTACTGCATTTTGAAAACATATGTACTAAAGTAATCAAAGCAGCCTACAGCTAAACAAGTGATACCAACACTGTCAGGATGGCTGAGGCTAGCGTGACGGCACTAAGTAACAGGCTTGGAGAGAGGTGCACACTGTGATATTCAACTGAAAAGTTAATAAGCTCAAGTCATTATACACTTTAAGCCCAAAATTCATGATTCACACATGCCTATTATTCTCAGTATGAAGCCAAAGGCAAACCAAGTAGTAGTCCGTTGATCTATTACCGAAATAGAATACAATTTGAATACCAAACTGGATGCTTTGCTTATTTTTGGAAGGTTGCGATAAAAAATGCACTACTTAATTGGGTGAAAAACAAAGCCTTGTAACACAATCATGTGCATGATTACATTCTACAAGTCGTTTTACATGTATACACATCATTCTATATCAAAGCTAACAGAATTTTCAAAAAAGGCCGCGAGAGTTATCAGATTGTCTTCTTCATTGTGCATTCGTAGGACTCTGTGGACATCAGTAAAGGAGATAACCGTCACAGAATGTTGACTAATTGACGAACATTTGTTAGCTTTGTAACTAATGGCTTTATCGGCCATGCTGAAACAGCAGTGTTAAGTCAGCCAATATTAAAGGCTATCCCAACTTAAACAATTCACGAAATGCCAAGCGGCTTCCACATATTCATTGTCCAACTTTTGTGTTTTAATGTCGGATGCAAAAACCGCGCTCAAGAGCTCAAGAATTTGTGCCGTTAATGGTGGGTGGAAGAGTGACATAGTCGTACTGGGCACATCGTCACTATCTCGACAGTGTGTCCTTGGTAGATGCATCCGCGTCATACTTCCAAGATAAAAAAGGTGCGTCCGAAGCAACCAGGTCCGCACAACATCCTGAGGTCTTCCCCGAGTACGCAATTTTCGAATCGGGTGACAAAAAAAGCAAATTTTTAGCATTCCATATCTTGAACCTTGTTGCTATACAGAAATTCTGTTAGTCTAATATTTACTGCCTTTGAAACTAGAATTGAAACGTATCCCATAAAACAATTAATTAAAAACATTATTAAAAGAATTTTGTTCATTAGTTTTGATTACATTCTGCAACGGTTATCCCCTTATCTAATGTCCTCCAAGCCCCATAAACACACAGTGAGAGAATCATTTAAGTTCCTCGTGCCGTATTTTTTTTTTTTAATTTCGTTCGAATCAAAGTGGACAGCTTTGTATACATGTATATAAAAATATTGAATGCATGTCCATCCCACTATAGAGGTCCACCTTTTCCTTAGGTAAAACTGGAGAAGGCCAGTTTTACATAAACCCCCAGCATGGTATGTACCAAGGGCCGCCAGAAATGATTGCTCACCTCGGAACACTCTGTGCGGCTTGAAGAAAGCGGCTTGCGGTCTTTGACGGTGGGTCTACCCGCTTGGTGCAGCTGGGACCTGCAAGAAAGTTAATGCAGCTTGCCATATACCAGAAAGTAGCAAAGACAAGGCCAGTATTACATAAACCCCCAGCAGGCATGCACCAAAGACCGCCAGAAATGATTGCTCACCTCACTGAACACTTTGTGCGGCTTGAAGACAGCGGCTTGCGGTCTGACGTGGGTCAACCCGCTTGGTGTAGATGGGAACTGCGAGAAAGTTAATGCAGCTTGCCATATACCAGAAAATAACAAAGACAAGGTCAGTATTACATAAACCCCCAGAAGGGCATGTACCAAAGACCACCAGAAATCATTGCTCACCTCAGAGAGCACTCCACGCGGCTTGAAGAGAGCGGCTTGCAATTTTTGTTGCTGGGACCTGCAATATATTTAATACAGCCTGGCGTATATCACAAAGACAAAGCCAGTAATACATAAGCCTACAGCACATGTCCCAAGGACCACTACAAATGCACGCTCACCTCATGGAACATTCCATGTGGCTTAAAGAGAACGGCTTGCAATCTGTAATGGTGCATGCACCTGTTTGGTGCAGCTGGGACCTGCAATAAATTTAGTACAGCTTGCCATATACCACAATGTAACAAAGACAAGGCCAGTAATACATAAGCCTAAAGCACGACATGTCCCAAGGATTGCTAGAAATGCTTGCTCACCTCATAAAGCACCCCATGCGACTTGAAGAGAGTGGCTTGCATCCTGAGGGTGAGTGCACCTGCTTGGTGCAACTGGAACCTGCAATAAATTTAATACAGCTTGCCTTATACCCACAAAGTTACAAAGACAAGACCAATACTACATAAGCCTCCAGCATGAAATATCCCAAGGACCACTAGGAACACTTGCTGAACTCATAGAGCTCTCCATGTGGCTTGAAGAGAGCGGCTGGCAATCTTTGGATAGTACCTACGGGTTCATTTCCCTTCCTTGATGAGCCTGAGCACTTTCGGATAAATGCCGCTCTTTGCGGTATGGCATGGTGCACACCTGGTACCTCTTTTGAGGTTTATCTGGCCAAAGTACCTATAACAAACATATAACAATTGGGTCACACACTGCAGTAGCCAGCAATACCACATCAATGACAAACGTTAGATAAGTGAATAAACATAAAATTATGTTTACTGACCAAAATATGTTAATTACCTTCTTAAGTATTGGTATAATGGGCTATGCTGCGATTGCAATTTTAAACGGAGACATTATTAAAGCCCAACCTAAATGAAACAATTTTGTGAAAAAGCAGCAAGTTTTGGGTAATCCATGTTTTTCGGAAATCGCCGGTTAGAGTTTTGGGGTTACATTACCGTAATATCCCGAATCATTGCCCATCCCCGAGCCATCGCCCACCCCATTTTTTGGGCCAATATCGATTTCCGAAAAAACACCGAGTCATCGCCCACCCCTTCAAATACCCCAGCGCGGACTCTGCGATCCGCGAACACTCATCCTACCCGAATGACGCGGCCGCGGACCTTACAGTTGGAGGACGTCCGTGACAAAGTAAAACGAAGGAGGGAAAGACACTTCTTTTTGTTTACGCATTTCCTCCGTGAGCGACCCCAAAGTGGTCGTGTATCCGTGCGAAACGAAAACGATGGAGATAACAAAATAAGAGTTTGTTAACGTAGCCGCGGAGTGTTAGGTCAAAGTCTGTCTCCGCCGAAGTAAGGTCACCGCGAACCCGCTCTTCTTCCCGCCCGTCGCGACCGCGGTTGTGCAATATTTTAGGCAAAGCCAAAGCGTAAATAAAGCTTTGCTGGAACGTCCTACACAGACGTTTGCAGAGCGTCCCAACCATGCATTGATAGCCCGCCGTGCACGGACGCACGTATGTATGCACCAAACAAGAAAGTTGCGCAAGAGCTTGCAATTGACAAGGCGCCCAACTTGGCCCGACGCCAAAGTATTTGCCAACGCGACCGCCGGCTTTCACGCTTTCCCAGCATTGCTCTTGGTCGCTTCTTTGGTCCGCTCGCTCGCTCGTTACGCCTGGTCGGTTTTTCTATTTTCTTGTAGACTTTTCTTTCTTTTTTTACTAACTAGGAGAACATAATGGTGACATTCTTTCACGGAACAAACTTTCGTGCTATATGCAGATCGGCGGTGCTTCTAGCGCGTATGCAAGCAACGGACTTCGCTATAGTAAAATATTCTTTCGTGAGCATTTTTTTCTATAAAACAATGATACTAAATCGAGTTTTGAGTTTGATGTATCTCTTGTGCATCAGCGCTAGATACGCAGAGAAAAATAGGCGGTTTTTTTCCGCTTTTTTTCAAGTGTTTGTGCTCACCACCGAGACATGGCCCACCCCATTTTTTAACGAATTTCAGGCGGTTGGGGGGTGGGCGATGACTCGGGATATTACGGGTACTCTCTTTAAAATTGCAATTGCGAAGAGGCTCATTAAACCGCTAAATAATAATAATAATAATATTGTTAGGAAGGTGAAGACGACGATGGGGCAGTGGCGCGCACGACCATCTCGCGCCAGGCCCCACGGGCCGGCTCGGCCTCCATAAATCGTATGCTTGTTCTTATACGAAGAATCATTCGCGAAGAATTACGCGAATTTGTCGCTTACCTTCGTCCCTCCGCCGACATTTCACGCCCACATAAGCCGTATGAAACCTTACTATCGTCGTGATACGTAAGCCTCTCAAACGCACCAGATGACCGGTGCCTGCACCGACGGGGCGAATGTTAGGAAGAAGAAGTGGTACCGCGAGATGGTCGTGCGCGCCACTGCCCCATCGTCGTCTTCACCTTCCTAACAATATTCATAATAATAATATAATACATTTATTGTATCTAGCGCACATCAGTTAGCATGACGGGCACATCACAGCCAACATGAGGCTTGTGGGATATGCCACCCTTAAATTAACAGTCCAACATAGCTATTCTTTGAGCCCGAGTGCAAAGTGAAACAACTATAAGCAGACGTCATTAGGATGTCACAGGTGCCATGTGACAAAGTTAGATGCAGACACACACCATGCACATGCACACCAACATACGCAAATGCAACGTTAGGTTTGAAAATAGCCACTGTAAAAAAGAGGAAGCAATTATAACCTCGTTAAAAAAATCATGCACTAATGATAATAAACGTAACTATACTAAACACAAATAACGCAACTATACTAAACACAAATTCATTAAACCGAGTCCAAAGGGGAAGTGTCACGGCCGGGGTGTCTGAAGCTGCACAAGTGTAATCTACAGTGAAATAAGAAAAGAAAAGTAAAAAGCTATGTAATTAAACAGTGACTTTACAATTTTTGGTTAATTAGTAAACATATTTTGACGTTTATCCGCCTGTCTAACGTCCGCCGAGCCCTACTATTATACAGTGAGGATGGCATCCACATATATATCACCTTCATTTTCCTTTACAGTCCGTTAAAGATTACAAAAAAAAAAAAAAAAACTATATCACAAGAAGCTTTCGACGTCATTTCAGCTGTCTAATGACTCAGGTGTGCAAATGAATGAACAGTACTCATCAATGAGAAATAAAACAAGAAAACGCAGAAATATAAATAAAATATAAACTTCTGCGAAGCCGATCAGCCGTTGGGTATGCTGACCCAATTATTACGATTTTGCGAAATGTTCACCCCTAAACAGAAAGTGCGGTGGAAGCTGCATGTTCGTTTGACCAGTCAACTGTAGATTCTGCACAACGTGGTCACCCCCTCTCGCATACTGACGCGGGGAGAGCGAGGTCAAGCGATAAGAGGCTTTAATTATAGTTGGCGAACAAGTAGCTTGCACCACACTGTCAGCGTAGGCGTGAACGGAATATAGGAGATGCAAAAACCTAAAATATATGTACCGTATTTTCCGGGCTATAGTCCGTACCCGGTGTATAGTCTGCAGGGGCAAATTAGGAGTCCAAAGTAAAAGTTTTTGCTTAGATACTTAGATAGTCCGCACCCGGTGCATAGTCCGCGTGCCGTGCATAGTCGGCACCTGGTGCTTAGTCGACACGAAAATCTTATAGACGGCACACCTTGCACATGTCTGCTTTCTTAGCACACAAAGAAGCCTACAATCAGGCACTCAGGCACGTAGCCAAAATTTCGTTTCGGGGGGGGGGGGGGGGGGGGCTGTCTGCCTATAATATACATAAATCATCATTAACATACTCTTTCACTCACAAAATCCGTCACATCTCCTCATAATGAACGATCTTGAAAAAGAAAATTCGTGTATAGTCCGCACGCGTAGAGAGTCCGCACCACAGTTTATCATACACAGTTTGCCCACTGTAGAATAAGCCTGTGGTAATCGCAAACCACGTGATCGAGGGCCTTGTGTTAATAAAAGTACATTTTAGAACTAAACTCATTACATATTACTCACACAATATACATTATATTGATAACCTAATAATTAAAAAAGAGCGAAAGTTCCTCAAACAATTATTTAAACTCGTAAAAGCGCCCTCTCACCACGGATGGGGTAACTAACCACATTTTATGCTTCGTTTTTGTTGTTTTGGTTTTCAAGATGGCGGCCCCCATGGCATTTTGTGTACCCGGTTTTCGCGTCCGCTTGCGTTGCGCTTTCGCTTTATTGTGACGTGCGCACCACTGGACGACAATGACAGGTAATTTATTTACACAAGAGTTATTTCAAGCAGGCAAATGTTTATTTTCGCTCTACATAGTACAATTTATAAGAAAATGTTACAAACAGCACATGCAATGATGCGGTTGCTGACGGGTATTATCGAACATACACGGTAGTACAAGCAAGTTGAATGTTAGCCTTCAACCTGTGTGCATAAAAAACGATAAACCTAGGACCAACAAACATAGTCTAAAAAGGTAGAGGTAAAGTCGCGGTAAAGGTATTTCAAAACAGCTATTCATAAACCATGCAAAAGAAAAAACTGCACAGACGCGACAGTTTTACATAACGAGTGCGATTACAAACCAGTTGCTTTAACAGTAACTGCAGGCTAATGTGGTAAATAAAGCTGTGCTTGGAAGTGCATTTGGCCTGGCCGTCCTTTCCCCCCAAGATGAATGTTCAACACACCTGGGGGGTATGTTCGACGACAAATGTTTCGTTCCTCCTAAAAAGAAACGGAAGTGATAGAAGTGAAGATATTGCCTCCGATTGGTTAGAGGCTCAAATTATGAAAGTTCCCTCTTTCGTTATTTGAGCCTCTGACCAATCAGACGCGATATCGTCACTTCCATCACTTCTCTTACTTCTTAGGAGAAACAAGACATATGTCGAACATTGCCGCCCTGGTCAGTTTTCTATGAGATATGTTGGTTTTAGCCAGTCAATTTCTTCAGCACAATGTTTAGCTGTTAGGTTCAATGACAGCGCGCCTTTACAACTCTCCGTCACCTGATCTGCCTAACGGGGCTACTAGCCCTTCAACAAAAATATCACCTATCATCGACAAACCGTAAGCACCTAGAATGCCACTTTCTGACTGCAGAGTCACCATTGAACATTGTCGTCCATGAAGCAACCTCCTGGCTGAGCATTCTTCACTCATCGCCCTCGCCAACAGCCTCACCTAATCTCGTTATTGCTGATCACTGGTGAAGCACACCCGCCGGCAATATGAAAGTGAACACCTTACCTGGATTCTTGCCCATTTCACGGCTCTCTAAAGCTATATTAACTCTCAACGTCTCAAATAGTATGTGGCTTGGGGTCTAAACTTTGCGTTCTAGCCCTCTTTTGGAACAGAGCTTGTTCCAAAACTTGCAGGAGCGTCAAAAACAAGAAGAGGGCTGTTCACCTTCATATCGCTCACGGGTGTACCTTC